ACTGCTAAAAACCCTTATAATCAAGAAGACATCAAAAGAGATTATGATTGCAATAAGGGAACAACTAAAATATTAGCAAATGCCATAATGCAAACCATTCCAAATTCAAATACAACCTCCTAACAAGGATTCGGGCCAAAACCCATAAAGGAAAAGCTTTTAAAACTGAATGCCTGAGCGTACACATATTCACCTGCACATGCATATACAAAAAATTCAAAGCAACTAACGCAGCTTCTAGCTAGGTTGCAGCTGAAAAGGCTACAAAAAGTGCAAACAAAAAAAAAAGAAAAAAAAAAGAAAAGAAAAACTAATTCTTAATCAACTAGAAAGACACCGAATTGAAGTTAAAATATAAAGTACAAACCAGATGAAAGCAGCCTATTGCAGTGAGCTGAAGACAACCCAATTCTCCAAAAAGCAATCAAATTTAGACAATCCCAAATTCAGAAAACGCGTATAAATTAATAAGAAACCCTAAAACATGAACAAATTGAGAAAAGGAAAGAAATTGGGGAACAATTCGGAATAGAAGAGCTGAAGGAGAGATCATAAAACGAAAGGAATGGAATGAAGAAGAATTACTTATGAAAAATGCAAGATCAAGCCGCCAATTAGAGCACAGATCGAGTCGCCCTGTTTTTCTCTTCCTCTGTTTCTGTGTTTGTATTTAAAGAATGATGAATTTATGGCATCTGAATCTGAGTCTGATTGTGCCCTTACTTACCCTTTAATGGACAATTTGGGAGAGAGAGAGAGAGGAGACAATTGTTTTGGTCTTGGGCTTCAGTTTTTGGGCCTTAAACCCCACTTACTTTTTTTTTTTAAACAAAAACATAAATATAGAAATCAAGACGACTTAATGCTTAAGATGTCGATTACAACTATTTATTGAGTAAATATTAGGGATAGATCCACTCAATACATGATTGTAATAGACGTTTTGAACGATAAAACATCTTGATTTTTTGAACTCTTTTTTAAAAAATCTCTTATTTTAACCCAACTAGAATAATATAGAACTATGTATAAAAAAAAAAATAAAAGAGAACTTTTAATACAAAAGTTACCCCATATGATATTTCCATTCTTTGACTTTTTTGGGGTTAAAAAATAAGGATAATATTTCATAGAATAAAATATATATCTAGACTATAGAGAAGCTTTCCCACAAATTTAAGGAACAAATATACAATGAAGAAATTTTCAAAAAATATAGATATATATATATATACAATGAAGAAAATAGGAGCAAGATTGTACTAACGTAAATATACAAAGAAAAGGTGAAGGTATGGGTGGGTGGTGGGTACTTTGTTATTTCATGCCATTTTTGTATTTAGAGAACAAGCAATGCAAGTGGCAAGCGATTTCTTTTTCCTTTTTTTTCTTTTCGTCACCAGCAAGATGGACTTCCACAGCCACCCAAAATTGGGTGTCAAACAAAGCCTTTTTAAGAACTAGCAAAGCATTGCAATATTCCTCAGTGCGCTCCCCGTGGCAGCATTTTCTTAAAAAACACAGCCACATGGCGGTTGCCACCACGAACCCCACCGTCAATTGCACTGGGGATTTTTATGTTATTCAGAAAAAATGGGGTGCATGCATGGATTACTTTTTTTCAGTACATCACAGATACGTGTATATATATAATTACACAACAAGAATACTCCTTTCCTTTTTAAACTTCCACTTTTAGAACATTCCTATGAAAAATGACAACATGTTAACGTTATGAGCAGTAATATAGCAATAATTTTTTATATAATTTTTTTTATATGTTATTAAATAAATGAATATATTTAATATTATGAGTCTCAAAAAAATAAAAAAAATTAATTATTTAAATAACGCATAAGATTGTATTAAAAAATGATACACAAAAATTATTCTTAAATAATTTTTCCAACATTATATAGTTTCACAAATAGAAGTTCAATACATTAATTATACAATATATATAGTAGTCCCTTCACAAAATTCACCACCAAGCTGAGTATTATTTTCCTGCATATATACCATTTCTGTCAACAATATATGGTGAAAACAAGAGCCAAACAGCTGTCACTAAATGAAATTCCAACACCAAATATATGGCCTCGAGATTACACTCAGAAATGGCCATTTTCCGCCCATAATCTCCTTCTTTGCAAGAAATGAATTTTGAGGTTTTCCTTGGGATTTTCCAGGCGCCAGTGGAAATTGTTTTATTTTGATGTGGAGATCGAGAGGCTGTAGAGATGAAATGAAGAAGTTGTGATGGGGGGTGGGGATAGAGGGCCTTGATCAAAGCAGCACAAAAGGAGCTTGAAGTTACCATACAATGAAAGCAACATTCTGCCTGCGGAGAGTATAAGAGGAGAGACTGATGGGGAGGAAAAATCCTCTTTGGGATATTTGCTGCAATGTAGAAAGAATACCATAGGGATGCAATGGCTAAATAAATTAACCCATAACTTAAGAAAGCTCTTGAGCTCTTCCTCCATAACTTTCAAAGCTCCTTCCAATCCATTTTTTTTTTTCTTATCCCTCTTATTTTAATAAATCTGGATTACACATACCAAATCACTAGGATTTAGTTAATTAGAAGATAAGGTTCACTGCCCAACCACCATGACATCTTCTTAGCAATAACGTTAGGTAAAAAGTCACTCTACGTATCTATGAATATTGAAAAGCAAACAATATTAATTAATGCCCAATAAGGTTTTTTGTTTTTAGAGAAGAAAACTAACATGTTGAGAAACAAATCATATTAATTAAGGAAATTTTTAACATGTGTTTTTATGAAATATATTTATTGTATTTTTTGTCATTAATTTACATATAAAAAATAGAAATTAACTTTATTTTTATTAA